CGTGACTGCGCGCTTCCCCTGCAGCGTAATCCGGCTGATCATGCAGTATCTGAAGGAGAACAGCCTCCACCGAGCCCTCGCCACCCTTCAGGAGGAAACTACTGTGTCCCTCAACACTGTGGACAGTATAGAGAGCTTTGTGGCTGACATCAACAGCGGGCATTGGGACACTGTGCTGCAAGCTATACAGTCGCTGAAGCTGCCCGACAAGACCCTCATTGATCTCTATGAGCAGGTGAGTGAGTGCAGGCTGCGTGCAGCCTTTTCTGGTCTGGGTGGAAGCCCCTCTGTGGAGTTTTCCACTTACCCTTTGCTGATGCGGACGTTTGTCTCTTGATGCAGGTCGTGCTGGAGTTGATTGAGCTCCGGGAACTGGGTGCTGCCAGGTCTCTCCTGAGACAAACAGATCCTATGATCATGTTAAAACAAACTCAGCCAGAGCGTTACATCCACCTTGAAAACCTTCTGGCCAGATCTTACTTTGATCCTCGTGAGGTATGTTACGCTTTTCTTAGAGACTGCACAATGCTGTTTTGCATGACTCCTAGCATCAGTCCAAATTGCTAGCAGCGTACGGCATCTTTTCTTCTCCATTCTGGGAGTGAGGCCACGCAGCTCCCCAGTTTGATGATTTTACGTGTTTTGTGAAGTGTTTGGGAAATGATGTGTAACACTTGATCACAAAGCAGCAGAGCAGTGGTTTTGAAGTATACTGCAGGTGGGAGTTTGGAGATTTATACCTGTATCCTGCCACAGGATGACGTCTGTGCCTTGCTTTTCCTTTCTTATATATGGAGAAGAAAATGTGCATTTTGTAAATAAAATTGTTGTTGTATAATAACAAGGAATAATTTCTAACTGATTATGTCAATCTGACATTTTTAGTGAAAGCATATCCCAAATGTTGGTTGCAAGGGTTGGTGTTTAAGGAGAAGGGCTGTTTTGAAGGCCTAATGTGGAAAGGCTTCAATTCAGAGCAATGAAAGTTTTTATGGAAAATGGTTTAGAAGAATCACTTCATAAAAATAACTTCTCTCTAGGCATACCCAGATGGAAGCAGCAAAGAGAAGCGGAGAGCTGCTATTGCACAAGCTTTAGCTGGAGAAGTCAGTGTCGTTCCTCCATCTCGTCTTATGGCGCTATTGGGGCAGGTAATTCTTGAAAAATATTTTAGTAGCTATGTCAGTTTCTGTAGATCTTGGCTGCATAAAACTAACAATGAGGTAGTTGATTTTCCAACTCTGTAAAAGCGAAGCTTAAAAATACTGCATTTACATGTGGTATAGTTAAAAATTATATCTTCTCTATGTGGCAAGCATTTAGCAGTTGTAGGAAAAGTCAGTGCTCCAGCAGTAGATTTCTTCCCATAGAACAAATACTCAGTGCATAGAGCAGATTATTTTCAAAGTACATACTAACACACACTGTTTCTGTTGTACTTACAACTCTTTCTTTTATTCTCAGAATGTATTAATTGGTACTCTATGCAGACAGCATTTCATGTATTTTGCTGTTTTATGGCTTACATCTTCCTTTTTAAGCTTGTAAGTATGCCAATTAAATTATCTTGGCATAACAGGTGGGTCATGTGACTGAAGGCAGCTCTCTGCTGAAGGGGTTGTATAAGATTCTGTCTTTTGAATGAGGTTCACTTGTGCCTTCCAAGAAGGTTTATGTGTCAATTTTAATGTATGCAGTTCTGGACAAATAGACAACAGGTTGGGTAAGTTAAATTAACACAAGATTGAACTCACACTGCGTACATACTGTATGCCTTGTAATGAGGGTAGAATGAGAAGGGTGGGCCGGAGTCGTTCTCACTTGCAAAAAACATTTGGGGATAATATTCTATTCTGCTTGTGGTCACGAGTTAGGAAGCATTATCTGCTAAGTTTTGTTTCAAGTAATTGTTTGCAGTGTATTTGTCTCAAACTCTACAGGTGTACAATTTATAAGGGTCCAAGAAACTCTTGCTGTATTTTCTTAATTAGAAGCAAGTTTTGATGAGGAAGACATGTTAACTGATATCTAATGGTATGGCTTTCAACTCCTCAAAAGGCACTGAAATGGCAGCAGCATCAGGGCCTGCTTCCTCCTGGTATGACAATTGACTTGTTCAGAGGCAAAGCAGCTGTGAAAGACGTAGAAGAAGAAAAGTTCCCCACACAGCTGAGCAGACATATTAAGGTGACATTGTGTTTGCTTTTATGTGTGTTACTGCTGCTCATTCCCTCCCGTGCTTTCTGTTGGGAGGTAAACCACCTGAACTCTTCTGTTCTCTTTTTAAGTCATTGCTCTCTCTTTTTTTTTTTTTTTTAAAGTTCTCCGTGCTTTATCTCGTCTGGAGACTTTTCATGAGAGTCTGAAATTAAGTCTCTTATCATGATTGGGTGCTCATGGTATTTGTGAATATGATAAATGTATTAATTGTTTCTTGGAGTTCACAGTTCAGAATCATTCAACTTTCAAAAGTGGTTTGCTTAGTCCCCTTTATTTGTGCAAGGAAATACTCATGTCTTAAACCTCTGTGTGTGCAATTAGCTTCTGTGGATCACTTAAATTTCGATAATGAACTATTACTTACCAGGTCTACTAATACTATCAGTATCTCCTTTTTAAGGATTTTATCATATAGATTACAAAAGAGACAGAAAGCTGTGCTGTAATGGCGTAGTTGTCCTGCAGCACTCACAATATGGAATAGACAGTTTCTTCCTGTGAAGGCTTTTCAACTTCACCAAGCAGTTCTGTACAGTGAGAAGTGTTAGTTCACTGTAGTAGCTCTCTTAGTTTTCATAATGAATGGAAAAAAATGTTTTTCAGAAGTCATGAGTTGGAACTTGTGACATCAATTTGTTGTGTTCAGTAGCAGCTTGGTGAAAATGCTGTATTATAACTTGTTTTGTTTACCAGTACTGATGTTGGATTTTTGTATCGATTAGTGAAAACTTTTTTCCTATACTCACTTGTCATGGTCACTTGTATTTAAAAATTTAAAATTTAAAAATTGTATATAAAAAATACCAAACATTCTCCATGAGAATTTCACTGGAGAAACATCATTCCAAGTGAAGCAAGTTGTAGTACTTTAGAAATTTCTGAAGTCTGCTAGGGATATATGTTGGGTCCAGGAAAGGTGTTTGTTGACATACACAATTCGCCGTAAAAACAAAAATATGAAGACAATGAACCCAACTGCTGCTGTAAGCATGGACTGTTTGATACAAGTTTTACAGATATTATTGTATTAAAAGGAGAGTGGTTTCTGTTTCAAGTGCTAATATGTAGGTATTGACAGAGGTTTTTGTACCTTAACGTTAAATTTGTGAATGCATACCTCTAGAAAATACTGTATTTTTGCCACCAAAATGAGACTACAGTTTTGTTTTAATGAGTTGCTTCTCTTAAATTGCTTATTAAGCTTAATTTGTATTCTCCTTTAAAACAGTTTGGGCAGAAGTCGCATGTGGAGTGTGCTCGGTTTTCCCCAGACGGACAGTATCTGGTTACTGGCTCTGTTGATGGTTTCATTGAAGTATGGAACTTTACTACTGGGAAGATTAGGAAGGTAAATTGCACCTAATTTCACATGGATAGTTCATTCACCAGACCACCTGGTTTTATTCTTTGAGATTATACTTTATGTTTGTTTTCATTTCTCGGGGACTGTGAATCTGAACAGGATGTCTGCTTGGGTGATTCAAATATCAGTCTGGAATCTTTACATGGGTTTAATTCTCTGGTTTGTCATGGACTTCTTTCTGCAATAACTTTTTTTTTTTACCTTTCTGGATCATTGTTGTTGCTTCTAAAATGGTGACAGCAGCACTTCCCTGTTGTATAATGCTGTGGGGTCTGTTTGATGATAGGTTATAAAATACAACTGAAGTTAAAACTTCTAGCCCTTTTGTACTTTGCCTTAAAATATATTTCATTGAATTCACTATTTTGACTGGTGGCTATTCTTCTTTCATTCAGGATCTGAAGTACCAGGCACAAGATAATTTTATGATGATGGATGATGCAGTGCTGTGCATGTGCTTCAGCAGAGATACAGAAATGCTGGCAACTGGAGCACAAGATGGAAAGATCAAGGTACAAATCTTTTTGTATGGTATGTTGGTAGAGGTGGTGACCAGAAAGATTCACTTGTAATTGCAGTAATGTTGAAATTCCGTGTAAAAGCAAATGAAGTTTAGTGATGCATAGGTATTGGCTCTGATGATTAAGCTTCTGTGATCTCGTGACAAAGTAGACACCTGTATTTCATTTGCTGTTTCCTCTCTAGGTGTGGAAAATCCAGAGCGGTCAGTGTCTGAGAAGATTTGAACGAGCACACAGTAAAGGTGTTACATGCCTCAGTTTCTCTAAAGACAGCAGCCAAATTCTTAGTGCTTCTTTTGATCAGACAATCAGGTAAGTAAACTGGGAATGTGTGACCTACATTGCAGGAGAAAAGAAAACAGAATTTTCACATTAAGCACTTAACCTTTTGATTATAGATTAATTTGAATTGGGATTTGATCCTTTTGCATTGAGTTTTAATACTAATAGGAGAGCATGAATGCTGAGAGTTGGAGAGGAACAGTTTGAAACTTTGACCTTTCACCTTGCTTAACTTGCATTATTTCGGGGCTAGGGGCCAAGAACAACTTCTGCTCTATTGTTGTTTACATTGACCTTGTGTGTTTTCTTTCTGGGAGAGTCCTAGTTTAAGAAACAGTTGTGTCAACCTTCAAAAATAACAAAAGATCTGAGGGTCATAGGATGATGACATCTTTTTGAAACAGCCTAGACAGCCTAATCATACTTACTATCTTTAATAGATGGCACGGCAGTAGTTGGTTCCATCCGGTTTATTTTCCTTTTGAAGCAGTATCATGGGCTCTTTTTTTCCTACTATCTAAAGAAATCCTCTCAGAGCAGCTTGAAGTATTTGGGTGCATATTCTCTGCTTCCTCCTGGTAGTTGCTGAATAGAGCAAAATTTCCAAAAGTGCTTGGGAATCTCAATTAGCAGTACTCATGGCTCTGCTGTGGCCTTGAATAAGGGTCTTTGTGTCCCTGTGAGTCACATATGGGTGAGAAGAGATAAGATGCATCCCTACAGTTCAAGGACAATCACTTTGCATTGTGTTGCTTCTCCCTGTCTAATTCATGCATTGTTAGCCCTTATCATAAAAGGTCTCTTGTCCCAGCTCACACCCTGAATGTAATCTAGCCCCCAGATCCGCCCCTCTTGTCTCTCCTGGATCCAGATAACTCCCTTTAGAGTGGGAACAAGAGGAAGAAGGATCCAAAGAAAGTGTTTTCTGGGCATCTGTTCTTCCCAGGAGTCTGACAGGGAATGCTAGAGATCCAACCCTGGAAGACAGCCAGGCTGATGGACCCTGAGAGCTTCAAGAACAGGAGTTGCAATTTGTATCTAGAAATGGCAGTACAGCCTTTCCTGTGGTTTGTGGTGCTGGTTTTTGATCTTAGTATCTCTTCAGATGCACGTGGTGTACATGGCTGACAGAGCCAGGCCTGGAAAAAGAAGGCTGAGAAGGGACCTAGTTGCCTTATCCAGAGGTAGTCGTAGATAAGACAATGCCAGACTCTTCTCAAGTTCAGAGTTCCTACAAGGGACAGCCTGCAGGAAGCAAAATTGTGATTGTATATAAGGATTTTTTAATTTTTTTTCCCTTGAGAAGCAGTGCTTGGGCAATGCTGAGAGTTGGGTCAGGGTGGGGTGGGATCTCAACCCTTGAAGACTTTCAAAGCTAAATTGAACAAGACCATGAATGACTTGGAAGTTGATGTTGCTTTGAGGAGAGCAGTGGAATAGAGGTCTTCCGAGGTCTCTTGCAGCCTAAGTTACTCTGTGATTCTCTGACAGGTACCACTGTTTTAGAATCTCTGTTAGAGAAAAATTGGCCAGTTGGTTTATACATTTATGCTGGTAAGAGGAAAAAAAACTTCTTTCAGAGATGAAAAACAGCCACAGAGGATCATTTTTCTCTACACTCCCAAAAGATAATTCCTATTTCTCCAGGCTGTCTCTGTAGTTCTGTCTTTGGGCATGGGAATTCTTTCCATTCGTCATGTAAACCATCATTTGTGTGGTAGGTTCACCCTGACTGGAGGCCAGGTGCCCCCCAAAGCTGCTCTATCACTGCCCTCCTCAACTGGGCAGGGGAGAGAAAATATAACGAAAGGTTCCTGGGTTGAGATAAGGACAGGGAGAGATTGTTCACCAGTTACTGTCATGGACAAAACAGACTCAACTTAGAAAAATTAATCAAATTTATTACCAAGCAAAACAGAGTAATGAGAAATGAATCCAAACCTTAAAACACCTCCCCCCACCCCTGCCTTTTTCCTGGGCTCAACTTCATTCTTGATTTTTCTCCTTCTCCCCCCTCAGTGGCACAGGGGGACGAGGAATGGGGGTTGTGGTCAGTTCCTTACACGCTGTCTCTGCCACTCCTTCCTCCTCAGGAGGAGGACTCCTCACACTCTGCCCCTGCTCCAGCGTGGGCTTCCCACAGGGTCACATCCTCCTTCAGGTGCCTCCACCTGCTCCGGTGTGGGGTCCTCCATGGGCTGCAGGTGGAATCTCTACACCCCCTCATCCTCCCTCCATGGGCTGCAGGTGGATATCTGCTCCACCATGGACCTCCATGGGCTACAAGGGGATCTCTGCTCTGGCACCTGAAGCACCTCCTCCCCCTCCTTCTGCACTGACCTTGGTGTCTGCAAGGCTGTTCTTTCATGTATTCTGATGCCTCTCTCTGGCTGCAAATGCTCCTAGATTTTTTTTTTCTTTTTTTCTTTTCTTAACTGTTTTATCACAGAGGTGCTACCACTGTTGCTGATGGGCTCGGCCTTGGCCAGTGGTGGCATTGGCTCTATCAGACACAGGGGAAGCTTCTAGCAGTTTCTCGCAGAAGCCACCCCTGTAGCCCCGCCGCTACCAGAACCTTGCCACGCAAACCCGATACACCTTGCTGTGTAGCACCAGCACTATGTTGGGATATGAGCTGTGGGTTTTTTTAACCAATCTGTATAGTTTAATTTCCCGATGTCTGTGGCATTCCTTTTGGGCCGTGAGACTGCTCATGATGTTGAAGGCCCACAAGCTGAGATATTGGGAACCCAGGAATGGGAATTCAGTCTTTCTAAAACTCCAGAGTTGTTTTGGAGTGCAGTTTGTGTAGTTCAGCAAGTCTGTAAGCTCAGTTACAGCGGTTGGATTTGAGGTTTTACCTGCAGAAAATCCAAGTAGTACATCCCTCTTAATATGGTTGGGCTGAACTAAACAAACTTGGCATTACCTAACACTTTCCATGTGCTAGGACTTACATGCATACGGTTACTGCAGCTTACCTGGTGTGCAGATAATCTGTTAAGCAACAACATGATAAAGCAATGGATTGTTGTGGGACAGGTGCAAAGGTGGTTAGGCTTGCATCTGTGCTCTAAGAAAGCTCAAGCATCTGTGCAACCTGTGTATGGCAGACTAGGCATAAATTATAAAATGGTTTAATTTAGAAGGTACCTCTAGTGATCTCTAGTCCAATATGCTTCTTTCAGTTAGGACCAGTTGCTCAGGGCCTTGTCCAACTGAGTTCTCAAAATCTCCGTGGGTGGAGTCCCCACTGCTTCTCTTGGCCTCTGTCCTAGGGGTGTACAGCCCTTTTGGAGAAAATCCTGTTCGGACATAAGGAAAGACAGTTTGGTTTAGTTTTTTTCCTTTGTAACTTGTGCCCTTTGCCTCTTGTCCTTTAGCTGTGCACCTCTGAGAAGAATCCGATTCTATTTATTCTGTAAAAACTTGTTAGGTAGTGATGTTAACTGAATAGTTACAATTTTTCAGGTGTTCAGTAACAATTTATGTATCTTTTTTTTAAGGATCATTCCAGGGTGGATAAAAGCAAGAATGAAAGTTAGTTTTAACTTTTAATACTAGCAAATAGTCACAAAAATACTCAGACTCTGTTCTACTCTTAAGTTACCAGATGGGCAGCAACCTTGTTCCTGCAGCTCTTAGCATCTGGAAAGTGTTGCTTAGCATTTGTGTAGTGCAGTAATTGTGATCCTGCACCTATTTGGTGTCTTGTTACAGAAGGGGATTTGCTCACTGCTGGGTGGATTTGGTTTGCAACAAAGCTCTGCTGTTGCTGCGCAGACCCTCTGCTGCACTTGAAAGCAACTTAGATCAGTTTTGTCTAGTTAACAGTTACTTTTCTTCTTTGGGGATATTCTGACTTACTTAATTTGTTTAACTTTTTTGTCTACAAGGAAGACAGCAATTAGATGCTCCTGAACTTTCACTTCTCTGGGCTGAACACACCCAGCCCTCAGCCTTTTCTCACACATCCGTGTGGTCCAGCCCTCTGGCTGTCTTTGTGGCCCCTTACTGGGGGGCCAAAACTGGACACAGTCCTCCAGAGGTAGCTACACCTCTGCCATGTAGGGGGAAACCTTGATCTGCAGACTGTGGCTCTCCTAACACATCTGGTGTGTGGCTGGGTTTCCTCAATGCTCACTTTGGGCATTCACTTTGTTTTCCCTAAGGCCTGCCAGGTCCTTCGCTGCAGACCTCCTCTGCAGCTGGTCAGCCCCCAGGAGATTCTGGTGCCTGAGGTGGTTCTGCAACAATCTGTTCTCAACATCATGAGGTTTCTCTCAGTCCCTCTGTCAGGTTTGTCAAGGTTTCAAACTTCCTCATCTGTCTTTTTCAAAATTGAGTTGCAGGATATGGGTCTTACGTTGTGAATCAGATTAATCCAGTGCTTGATGGCTGTATACGTTTTATGTTTAATTGAATGGGATTATGTAATATGTTTAATAGCTTTAGGCTCTTGCCTGTACTGTAAAACCCAGTGGTACCAATGGTACTGCTTTAGATGAAAATGAAGAAACGTGTGAATCCGGAGGCAACTGCACAGTGAACAGGCATTACAAGACATCTTCATGAGAGATGTTAATCTGATTAAATCCTAATATATACATGAACTACAGCATACGCATTTTAATTGAAATTATGTAAGATTGGATGTTGAATCAAGGACAGCAAGCTTCAAATGGAATAAGGACTTTAATTCTCAAGGCTTCAGACTTCTGCTGGAAACCGTATTTCTGTAGGTACTACAATTTAAGGCTGGTGCAGATTAGCAATATAATTTCCTCTTAGATGACTGAGCAAACTCTTTGCAGAGTTGCACAGTAAGAGGCAGCGGCAACAGCTTGCAAAAGAGAAAAATTCCGGCTGGATTTAAGGAAAGAATTTTTAACTCAACTGAACAAGGCCTTGGTCAAGGCCCTGAGCAAGCTGACCTTGCTTAAAGTTAACTTAACTCTGTATTTTTTGTTTTGTTAGCTTCATAGTTTCCTCTTTCATAGTGCTGTCTTCTAATATGTACAGTGTGTATTACATACAGGTCTTTTAGGCTGAAGATTGATGGTATTTCCCTAAGCTTTTATCAGGAACACATAATGTCTTTGATGAAAGAGGCTTGTGATAAAGACTTCTGGCTTGTGGATTTTTAACACTTTTTGGTGACCTTTCTTGTGTGACAGGATTCATGGTTTAAAATCTGGGAAAACTTTAAAGGAATTCCGCGGTCATTCTTCCTTCGTTAATGAAGCTACTTTTACCCAGGACGGCCACTATATTATCAGTGCATCCTCTGATGGCACAGTGAAGGTAAGATAGCATTTACTCTTAGTAAATAATACATTCAGACTCTTTGCATGTTGTATCTGATTTGTTATAACTGCTGCAGTCATTGCACAAGGACTTGAAGTTATCTGCAGTAAGTTTTTCTGCTTGTGACCTTTGCTGTAGATTGGTGCAAATGAGAAGTGATGAAGTTTCATGCTCTGCTTACAAACTGCTGTGGAGCATGTTTCTGCTTCTGTATTTATGAAAGGAGGACATAAATGCATTACTTACCTGCCTGTTCCTGCTTTATTCTAGAAATAGAATTAACTGTGACACCTCTTGTCCTAGAATGTGGGGATTCCCTTGTTTGAAATAATGGGATTTTCTTGCTTACTGTGTTGGACACCTGTTTGTTTCTTGGTGCTTAGGAGTCCCTTGCTGTGTAAGCTAGGTTATCTAGCATTAATGAAACTGATTGTAGAAGTGATAAGTTTGGCTTCTAGTCTCAGCAAAGAGTGGAACTACTTAGTGTGTAGTAGTAAAGAGGAGTAAAGCATTGTTGTGTACAGGTCATTACTGACTAATAATAAATAAAGAAATGAATATAGAAGCAGCTGCATTAAATAGGGCATGGATGCAGTGCATGGGGGTTGGGTAAGCAGGTTTGGTTTATAGATGTGGCCTAGGAGAGTGTAATACATTTTGCTCATAGTTAATGGGGTGTTACTTCAAACTTCCACTCTTTGCTAAACTGTCCCAATCATGGGAATAGCATAAGAAGGTGGTATCTTTAATGTTAATTTTATATATATTATAT